GCATAGTCCTACTTTATCAATTATATGAACATGTCACTGTAGGTATGTGTTGAATGTATTAAATTATATAAACAGGAAATAAAAATGGTAAAATCAGAATGAATATAATGGAATGTTTTAGTGATTTTTCTCTGCATACCAAAGGCATCACGTTTTGTGTCCTCTTATAAGAATGTTGTTGTACTATGAGCTGAATTAAGGGTCTCTGATTTTGATAACGTCCTGCTTGAAGATATTTATGTGTCTACATATATATATATATATATATATATATATATATATATATATATATATAAATTAGAGAAAATGCTAATATTCTTTCCTTATAGTTCATGGAAGAATGCAGGGTCAATTGATTTTTCCCTTTATCTTATCAAACTTTATATTCTCAGAATTTTATAGGGGTAAAAGTTAAAAGTTTTAAGGCTTATCATCTCTGGTTCAGAATTTTAGCTAAGCTTATTTCTTTCATTTTTCAAAATGAAGTGTTGATTTCATGACTTCATACTACATTTTACCACTGATTTTTCATTGTTCCAAATCATATGTATGTAATGTATTTATTATATGTTTCAGTCTTTACCATAGTGCTAAAAGGAGAAAGTGTATTAAAACACATCAAAAATCAGGAAAACCAAGGAGCAAAAGCTAGAGTCACTTGACTCCTTTATAGGGTGTCTATGAAAGAGGTTTACTATGTTGCAGAAATTTGTGTTATTTTTGTTTATTTGGGATAGGTTCTCTCTATATATCCCTGACTGGCCTAGAACTTGCAGTATAGACCAAGCTGACCTTGAACTCACAGAGATCCTCCTGTCTCTGTCTCCTGAGCACTGGGATTAGTGTCCAGAAATTTATGGGAACACTGGCAAGTTCCACGGTTCCCTCAGCCCTTCTGGGTTTCAACCGACTGGATTCCCAGAATTGCACTGTCGAGATCAGGGCTGGATCTATATGGTCACACAGTGAGGTCCTGGCATCACTCTCAGGTAAGGGGGTCGGCAAGTGATGCTGGTCGGATGCTGTGGACTTGAGGGGATTTCTGATATTTTTCAATGGTTGATAAAGCAATGGAATGAAATACTTGGACTTAAGAATATGTCTGGTAAGGCAGAACCCTGACCAGTAGCCCTGTACCATCATAGAGGAGGAGGCTTTGAAAGCTGAAAATGAGAATTCATCAGGAGGGATGGCAGGCAGCTGAGGCCACACAAAGAGTGCACATCCTGCCCATACGCTGCAGTCCAGCTGCTGCACTGAGCACCTGAGAATTCACTCACTCAGTGCCCACAGTGTGTTTAGGGATAGGTTTGCGCAACACTCAGAGAGGCTGAAGGGCTCATTAAAGTTCACATTCCTCAGCAGGGGCTGAAGCAGGACTTGAGGCCACTCTGTGGCCCTCCTCCTTGACTAGTATGGAGCAAGTCCCAAGCTCAGGGAACGTGTCCAGCTGTAGGGTCAAGGAGGTGTCAGCGCACTCACAGCCATGCCTGAAGGTTTTTCTTTCTGAGGGAGAGATGTACACCTTCCCATGTGGAGCCAGATCATAATCCAGCAGTCTCCATAACTGACATCCCATGAAGGCATCTGGGGAGAAGTGATGTGGCCAGGGCTTTCACTTTGGGGTTCAAAGCCAGGTGTCCCCAGCACCTGCCATAACTATTTGTTGAATCAATGAACTTCACATAATTAGGTTAAAAGGAATCATATTCATGGAATTAGGATTATCTAGCTAGAGCCAAGATTCATGGGCCCCAGGATGCGCTCAGTCAGCTATTAAAATTAGATATGTTTGGGTATCTCTCCATGTATGTCAGTAGTGGCTTGGTTAGTAAGTCCTCATTTTTAAAAGTAGTCATTCTAGCCACTTGGAATATTCCTTACATAAACTTCCATTCCTTACTAACCCTTCCACATACTTTCACAAATGGTGCTCCCTTGTCCTGCGAATGGAGTAAAATCTAGTTGTGTTTGTCTTTATCTATGAGGTGATAAATATAGGTTATTTCTAGCAGAAAAGGATACTCAAAAGATGGTGAGCCAAGCTAAGAATCTAGTAGTCATGTCTCATAACATGGAAATATCCTACAGGCTGTGTGTGTGTGTGTGTGTGTGTGTGTGTGGTTTATATAGTTAAGTAACTCCAATGCATCTGTTGCATTGGCCCCCTTTAGAAGCCCTGTTAAGCTGTCAATTAGCTTAGCTTTATTCTATGTATATAAATATAGAACATGTTTTCTATTGTTTCTTTCATATGGCTTCCCTGTGTTTGTACTGTTCTGTTGTATAGGTCAGTATTATTTTTTGCTGATAAGCCATTATAGAAGATACTTTAAATGATGTTGCTGTGGTGGTTAAAGTATGAAGCCTTGGTGGGCTTGCTAACTAGAAGTTTTAATTCGTCTCTCTGACGCTTTACTATTAATTGAGAGGATTTTCCCCCTGGTATTGCAGCTAGTGGCTCCTCTTGTGCAGTTAATTAGCACGATTATGCCACAGCTCCTTCTGCTCCTGCACAAAGGTTTGCTCTTGTTTTTATCAAAAGGATCATTCTCTCCGAAAATGCTGGGACCTGACAGGCTTTGAATTGTAAGACCTCTTATTTATTTTTAAATAGCCACCTCCCATCTTTTGGCTTAGGAAAGTACATTTGAGCTTTGAAGATACACTCCAAAATGGGAAATACATTTTCTTTGGATGCTCTTTTTAGCAGATCCTGTGCTAGTGAATAGGTGGTTTTAGGTGATAATAAGATAATAAGCGAGGTATAGACACTGCTCACTCAATGTTCCTTGTGTGTCTAAAGGGAATGCTGGGGAAAACAGTGGAAGAAAGATATTTTATGCTTGGGGGCTGCTGAAGACTCCCAGGAGAGCTGATATCCTGGATTAGGTCACTCTGGTCCCTTCTATATTTGAAGTATTGTCAACTGCTAGATCTAGTCTCCTTTCTTGTAGCCTAGTGGTGAAGTTGCTCACCCATCATTTTCTTTAGTTGCTGTCTATTGTATATAATGCCACTGAAAAAATACTTTGGTATTATTACAGCTTAAAGGAGAAAGTCTGAAAGAAAATTGCTTTTCCTAAGTTCATCCCTGCTCAGGCAAGTACGATTGCCCTATACCTTCGCTGCCTGGCACTTTGTGGATTTACACATGCATGCTGAGCTTAGAAGTCTGAATCAGTCTGTAAATCCACTTTGGAATCTGACTTTATAATTTGTGCTTACTTCGCGTATATCCTACTTTGCTGATCATTTTGCATTTTTGAGAAAATAAGGTAATATGTTACTGAATTCATGTGTCATAATTTACTTAATTAACTATGGTCTTACTTGAAGAAAAAATTAGGTGATTCAGGATATTTTGAAATCTTTAAAAGCTTTTGTAGTATGTGAATTCTTCCACTTTTGAGTTCTTTGGACAACTGTATGTCAAGGAACTTTCTGAAACAAAATAATTTATTTTTAGCTTTTGGATATGATTTTATTAAAGGATAATAATAATAACACATTATCATTATGCTTTTCTTATCATAAATATGTTTTTAAAAAAATTTAACACCACCTAGATATTTTTCACCTGGCTTAAAAATTATATTGTATAGTTTTAGTCATATAAATAGTTTTATTTTTATGGAATTTTAGTGGATGCTTGGTGTTAACTTTTGTTGGTTATTATTATTATTATTATTTACTGGACCAGTTTTCTGTATGGAAAATGAATTAACTTCTGGGGCTTTCGGGGATGACATGGAAGTGTGATCCATATCTTTATCCAGAAGCACGTGTTGACACTTGTGCAGCCTTTTTGCCCTAAGGTTGTTCACAGAGATGGCCAGGGGCCTCAGGGCTTTTGTCTTTGGTAGGGGGGTAAACGCTGCACCAGGGTTTGGTTCCCATGCTGGATGGTAATAATAACAAGCCTAAACATCCGCTGGGGTGATGCTCATTGTGCACAGCGCTCATGAGCAGTGCTTTATTTTAACTTTACAACATCAGTCCTTAGGAGGGAAGGCTTTTGATATGAGTGGTATGGTAGGTATTGAAATAACATACGTCCACTTTTATAAATGGGTGAAAAGCTAAGCACATCTCTTTGAGGCATGGAAACCCTGGCAGAAAGACATTTATTATTTGTTCCTATCACTGAGTTGGCAAGATAAGCCACCCAAAGCCACACCTAGAAAAGACAGGAACTCCTTTATTCTTACCTACTGACTGGCATTTGAGTGTGTTAGATGATGATGAACAGTGAGTCTCAAGCCTTTACAAGTGGGCTTCATGGGGAAAGCACAGAACACCGATGCAATAGAAATGCCTAGATGAGTCACAAGGAAAAACACATAAAGAAAACCAGGAGGAAAAGAGATGGGTTGTCACTTCAGCTTCTCTTCTGTCCCCTTGCCCAAAGACAGGGCTCTGGTGCAGTGTCAGTATCTGGTCCAGACGCTTTTTTTGTTAATCATTTGTTTCATCTCTTGTCTTCAAAGCCTTTCTCGTGACAGAGCTTCCATGCTAGCAACCATATTAGACATCTTCAAGAAATTTAGATAACATGTAGGAGTCATTGGTTGATCAGACTCAACTATTTAAAGACAGCAAATCAAGTAATTTATTTTTAACTGTGGAGACTTGGGTGCCGGTGAGACGGATGGTTTCTAGTTGATGCATATGGCGGCCTGATAGTCAGTGATGGTGAACTGTGTGTGGCCTAAAATGCCAAAAAGAAATGTGATTTGATAAAAATATCTAGATGCAATCAGCCTGACTTATTTTAATTCAACTGCTAATGACTAGAATCCTGTCACCTCTTGATTTTCAATTACATGAAGTGCCATGCCGTGCCTTGATTATATCTGTGCGGACTCACCTCCTAGTTTGGTGGCATTTAGGATATCCTGTGAAGCAGATGATGGGTCTCATCAGGCTACTAAATGCTGTGTGCCTTCTGGTTTCCCCACAGCAGTTCTGCGGAGCATCCTGGGGCCTCCAAGCCTCCGTTAAGCTCCTCCAGTATGACATCACGCATCTTGCTACGCCAGCAACTCATGCGTGAGCAGATGCAGGAGCAGGAGCGCAGGGAGCAGCAGCAGAAGCTGCAGGCAGCCCAGTTCATGCAACAGAGAGTGGCCGTGACTCAGACGCCAGCCATAAACGTGAGCGTGCCCACCACCCTTCCCTCTGCCACCCAGGTGCCGATGGAAGTCCTTAAGGTATGTGAGCGTTGCCCTTGTGTTTGGACTGAGCCTGTCCCTTCTCCACGCCCTAGGTGTCACATTCACTGGACTGTGTCTTTGCTTGTATTGCTATTAGTCTTATTTATAAGCATCACTTCCAGTGGTTCCTATGAGACTTCGTATTTTAAAAGAAGGATTTGAACTAACTGTAAATATCATGGCAGCCTGTGAATGGCGAAGCAGTCAACATGTTCGTAGCCACTTTCAGATGGGATCTGGTGTTTGTTATAATGAAGAACGTTTCTCTGTCCTTCTTTTGGAAATGGTTTCAGGCATAAAAGTTACCTGAAAAAGGGCTCTCCTAGAAACTTGTGTGTGTCTTTTTATAAATGCATTCCAGGGCCACACTTTAACTTTGCTCTTCAGTTAGCAAATCCTGCTGGTCCTGGAAGCTAATTGTTTTAGAAAGTCTCTTTAGAAAGAGAACTGTGGTCAAGCGTTCTGTCTGTGCCTTAATAACCAGACTCCATAATCCTTTTACTGAAGCGAGCTGTCTGCTTTGGGTCTCTTTGATTTCTTGCTAGAGTGGAAACTGCAGGAGCTTGTTAACATCCTTCTAAGCAGGGACACATAGCTTCCTAATTACTAGAGGAAGCTGCAGCAGGTCTAAGCGTAGACCTCTATCTCATGCATTGTCTTCCACTCTACATAGGAGCTGCCTTGTTTCATAAGCATTTCAATTCGTAAATATGAGTGCTTCAAGAAAGACTAGAAACAGGGGAACTTCCTTGCTTTTTATTTACTTTTTACCCACTCACCTAATTGATTCATTCTGAAGAGCCAAGTGTCCCTGTTCATTAAGCCATGTGAACTCCACACACTGCACATTCATTGTTGGTCTTTGCTTTTACCCTTGTGTTCAGAAAAAAAGAAAAGAAAAGAAAAATCCATCCATCTCCCGTTTAAAATTTATTATTAAAGCAAGCAGGAGTGGAGTGCTTCACTGAGGCTCTGTTTATGATCTCTTCTATGAGGAAAGGAATTCTTTAAAACCAACTTTGAAGCAGCACATATTATTTACAGAGACTTTACACTTAATGACGCTATTTGGGAACTCTTTGACAGAGAAACCAGTTGAAATTTTGCTGAAGCAAAAATGACCCAACTAGTTCAGCATAATTTTTTTTTAATATGACCGAAATTCTGAATATTGCTACAGTTATGACTCTTATACTTCTGCCATCTCCTGTAAGTAAAAACATCTTTTGGCTGTAGAATAAACTATTCGTGGACTCTCTCAGTTCTGCTTGAGAACTGATACTCCCTATATAAGTTGTAACAGATACAAGATTTAATTATATAAGGTACAAATTTTCTGTTTGCAAGAGTCATGACCGTCTTGTTTATACTTTATTAAATAGTGTGATTTTTATAATAACAAGATGTGGAGAACTGTTTTCTGTTTTAGTCACCATAATCTTACTTTTTTAAAACCAAAAAGCAAAATTTAGAGATAGTGACATAGATTTGAGCATAGTGGTTTATATCCAATTTGAATGTAGTGCTTAAAATTGTATTAAAGTATATTAAATTGAAATAGATTTTCTTTAAAAATACTTACATGGAGTGTTGGAGATTTGACCACAAAAGGACTGTATGGAAACATCATTTCAATATTGTCCTAAAGTTATATAATTCCTAAATGTTTAGAATGTTACTTTCTAGCCTTATTAAAATTAACATCTCTACATTAAATAATTTATTTATTTTCCCTATACTCTGCATATCCTGGTAACACTGGATTGAATTGCAGTCTCTCCACAACTAAAGAGTACCAGAAACATGCCCTAAGTTAAAGTAAAAATGAATTATAAAAGCTAGGAGACATGACCTGACCCAAAGAGGCACTGGTTAACTTTTTCTATTGTGCTCAACAATTGTTACCAGTTTTTAACTCAGAATGTTTCTCCTCGGGCTACATAAGAGAGTCAACTGTGCCCCATAAATGAGAGGGACTTGCTGGCTTATCAGTCTGTAGGCAGCTAATAGCTATTTAGACAAGCTTAGGTGCTTTTAAGTCAAAGACCAAATGAAAGCAGGATTTCATTCATCTGAGGTAACATTGTAAGGCATTTAAACATAAATGATAAGGTACGTTTCCTATTGGTGATTCCTTGAGCAATGTTTGACTTCACACTTCATGAATATACTTTCCTAAGTTCAGAGTATGGAAATACGATGTGAAGTGCCTCACAGAACGGCACACACCAGTACTCTCCCTTTCTTTTCTCTTTTATGACTTTTAACTCATAAAACAGAGTTTCGTGAAGTAAATGGTTATAGAGAAACAGTTGATTGGTTTAATCTTGCACAGTTTTCATGGCTATATATATTTAAAACATTAGTAATGAAAACATGGGCTAGTTTATGCATTCTGATGTTATGTATTCCATCAAACACAGTTTTCTAATAGTATAGCCTTAGTCAATTATTGATTTTGTTTTTTAAGTTTTAAGTGGTGGAGTCAGTGCATACCTACTTGCCAGTGATGGTAGACCAGGTTGGATGTGCCATCAAGTCTATCCATTTTCTGGTGTGTTTGTAAGAACATGCTGGAAGAAAGGCCAAAGTTGAATTTTCATATATACACAAAGCCCTGTCACCAGTAACCCACTATCAGTGGATTGAACTACCCATTTTGACTAGTGAAATCAGTGTTTTCAGGTTAATCCCTTTTGCTGGCAGCAGTTTACTTAAACTACCAAACTCTATGAAGCATGTTTAAAAATTGTTGACATCTGAAAACTTAGGACTCATTGGAATTTGTATTACAGAATGGAAATTCCCATAATTTTCTCCTCAGTACATGGTCATTATTCATGAGGTGTAGCCTCTGTATTCTATATTGATTTCATTAATTTGGGCGTTTCCCCCTTGGGTTGATTTTCACATTGGATGGCATGGAATGGTGTGTCTTAGTGTAGGCATTTGCGCATTAATGAGGTGTTGACTCGATATCTTAAGAACAAGCTTAACAATTTGGGATGGTAACTCAAGAGTCCTTCTTTACCATAAATAGGGACATTAGGGGTGCATGAGAGAGTTTTCATAGTTGTGAGCACACACCCTGTGTATCAAATTGTGAATCAAAAAATTTGCTAAGAACTGTTTATGGAGCACTTTCTCCTATAGGTGGAATTTGTCAGCAGGTGAACCACACAGAACTGAGGCCCAAATTTGATGTAAACAAGGTTGGAGTCTCCAGGGATGGCCCTCTAGTCATGACCAGCCTCAGAGCAACAGCAGCATCACCGGCCTGACTGAGACTGGGTGCTCACACACTCACAGAGGCTCTCCTGTCACTGGCTCATTTCTCTATCTTTAGTTGATTATTGGAACAGCTGCTACTGTGATCTGAGACTGTCACATTCTTCAGTTTAATTTCCTGCTATCTTCCGCACAGACCCAGGCAGTGGAGAGCATAATATAGTAGTTTATAGTTGGTTTGTATTTGTTTCTCTGTTGGGAAACTTGTAGCTCCTTGTCCTGAGTTCCTACCCTCTTTCTGTTAATTTAAGAATCTAAAGGCTAACTGTTCTTTCTGTTACACGTTAAATTCTCTCTTGTCTACTTTGGAGAAAGTGTTTCTAGATGAAAAAGAATTCTTTTGTGATGCTTTATTACTTTAATATATTATTTAGTTTGGAGGAATTCAATTTTAAATATTTCTGTTTTTCCAGATCATTTCAGGAATTGCTTAGATTGCTTGCCAGTTAGAAATAATGTTTTCTGTTCATCAAACACAGACATGCATTTTGTAGAACCTTGTATGTTGTAAACTATGTTACCCTGGGTTTTTGTGGGAGAGGGCATGGTTATCTCATCAGCCTCTGCACATTTAAGCAAACACTCCAATGAGTGATGGCGATAGATTTTGGTCCATTATGCATGCTCGACAAATGTACAGACTACATCCCAAACTTGACATTTGACTTTGTTTCTGATTGTATTGATGAATCTGAATCTCATCATGGTGGCTCTTCAAAGCAGGAAGGACACAGCCTGTCTCGGTCAACTTGCATTTTTCTCCTGAGTTGAGTTCATAGCTATCCCCAGAAGATATGATCTGCTGCATCTGAGTTATCTTCTGATTCTGTGTTCATACATTTAAGCTGTCAGTCACTGTGACACACGTGGTTTATAAACCTCAGTTTCAGAGGGTTTTATAAATAGTGATGTCCTTGTGATTTTGTATAAAATTATATGTCTCCTAGACCATGTCATTATTTAGAGAGAGAAGGAGCCTCCATCTCCTTCTAGAAACATCTCTTTCTCACCTATAGCGTGTACATGCCCGGAGAGTCTTAGACTTGCTCATTGTCACCCAGAAGGTAATTTTCCTGATTTTTAAAACCCACTCAGTGATTTTTGTAAATTGCAGGCTGTGCTTGTTAGCTTCCAACAGATTTCCACAGCAGGCGGTAAAATCCACCAGGAAGCCATTGCATCTGAGTTGCCTTGCTTCCTGTAGGAACAGTGGCCTTTCTGCCATTTTCCTCCTTTCCATCCCCCCCATTGCCTTTCACAGGAGCACAGTTTGAAGAGATGCAATAGACAGTACCAGGCATATGGACACGACCCTGTGGATATTTCTTCTACTTTGTCTTTACTTTTGACACTTCACAGTCCTCCACTCTTCTCTGGGCCTAAGGGCGAGGCCCACTTTGTCTCCAAAGCCAGTTGATGGTTCTGGTGTGCCCAAGTGCCAGTTTGCTTGGCACCACTTGGGAGTCATTCATGGTTCATGTTGCTTGGGAACCCCTGTGAATAAGAGGTTGCTAATGGCAGGGCTAGACCAGGAAGTTGTTCCACTGGGCTGTCTTAAGTGGCACAATCCAACTTAGCATAGGCCAAAAGGGGCAAGGTGGTCAGTGAGAACTTAGGTCCACATTCACTTAGTCTGTGTCCACTGCCTTTGTGACATGTAACTAACAATTCGGTGTTTGCTGGACAAGGCCTTCTCTGTTTATGTTTGT